GGGCAAGGCGCGGCGTAATAAAATATAATTACCGAGCTATAAACTTCAAGCTCATAAAAGTTCTACAATGGATTGCAAGTGCCCTCGAGGTGCAAACTCCCGACAGCGACCTTGTCCAAGGTCGTCCATGGATCAGGAAGGAACATCCCCTCCCCCGTGCCAAGAAGAAGCTCTTAGTCTGGGCGGGTGCCAGCTGGGAGCTCAGGCGTGCCACGTCAGGCCATGGCGTCTTCTCCTGGATTAGACATATACATGTGCCTGCAGATCTACAAACAGTTACACGGGAAGACGCCACGCACGTGGCACCGGGTTCAGTAGTCCTCCCAGTCACCAGGAGAAGTCTACAGGCAGGTCAGACCCCCCCAAACGGATCTTCTGTAGATGAGGGACCAAACCAATCCACAAATCCCGAATCTCCCGATCCGTCTATGGCAGGGGGTGGGAGACCTCTGCAAGTCCCATGAGGCACCGCAAGACCAAAAGCCACAGGTATGACCCCCAGAGGTCAAGGCATGGTGGGAATTATAGTTTCACCACAGCTAGAGTGCCAAGGTTGCCTATCCATGGTGGGTGGCATGGTTAGGCAAACTCCAACCCTTCAGCTGTGGGATTGGTAGTGTGGAACTACGAAGCTGTGGGGTGGAACCACGAATCCCATGAGGCTTTGCAAGATTCTCACAGCCACAGACATGACTCCAGAGGCAGAAGCATGATGGGGGCTTGTAGTTTCAGCACAGCTGGGAGTGCCAAGGTTGCATACCCTTGCTATAGACCAGGGATGTCCAAACTGTGGCCCTTCAGCTGTGGTGGAACTACGAATCGCATGATGCATCTCTCCGGGAGTCATGCCTGTGAGAATCTTGCAATGCCTCATGGGATTTGTAGTTCCGCCACAGCTGGAGGGTCGCAGTTTTGACATTCCTTGCTATAGACCATGGGTAGGCAACCTTGGCACTCTCCAGCTGTGCTTAAACTACAAACCCCCATCATGCTTCTGCCTCTGGGAGTCATGCCTGTGGCTTGCAATGACTTATGGGATTTGTAGTTTCAGCACAGCTGGAGAGCCGAGGTTGCCTATCCCTGCTATAGACCATGGGTAGGGTAGGCCAACCCTGGCACTCCCAGCTGTGAAGAAACTACAATTCCCAACGTGCCTTGACCTCTGGGGGGGGGGTCATACCTGTGGCTGTCAGCCTTGCAATGCCTTGGGACTTGTAGCTGCGCCACAGTTGGAGCGCCGAGGATGCCTACCCCCTGCTCTATAGAGAACAGATGTAGACCGAGAGTCCGGCCACGTTGTGGGCACCACGTTGGGTTTTACACGCCATAGAAAAGGTCTCCAGGCCCAGGTGCTGAAACAAGGGCGAGCGTGAAGCGAACGCGGCGGAATCTGCAGGGAGAAAGTGACAACAACAACTCAGCCGCCTGGGCCAGACTTCGCCCGAGGCCACATAGGAAAAGGTGGATTGCATGGCGGGGGGAGGGAACGACGGTGCCCCAGGGCAAGAGGATGGGTGCCAGGAATACACACCCTGGGAACTGACTGCAGGAGAACAGCACACACCTACCCACGGGAACATTGCACAATGTCCCACATTCAGGACCGGATTAACCCTTCACAGGGAAAGTACAGAGAGAGGATTATCAGCTCTGCTAAATCTCCCCGTTCTTGGACTTTGACCTACATAGGATCTGAGAAGAACCCGGATCCTGCCCCAACCCCCTCCTCAGGACACTTCTCCATCCAAAGCCCACAGAATGCTGAGGATAAGAAGTCTATAGCCGGTGGAGGAGGTCACAGACGGTGGAGGAGGTCACAGACGCGAAGAACCTCTCCATTATGGAGTCATTCCAACGTGTGACATGAAGAAGACTCCCCTACCCCCCTCTGCGGTCTTCTGCAGAATTCACAAAACAAAGGGACTACAAACCAGTCCCGAGTCCATCCGGCAACGGTGACCTGGAGTCCTGAATGTGGGCAAGTGGGTGCACGGTAGTGGTGACCACCACAAGCCCCAGCAGCACACCACCAATGGAGTTCCAAGAAAAGAGCCGACGTGAACGGGGAACGCAGTCTCGGCTGTCACTCACGTTGGTGGTGGTGGTGGGCCCACTCGTAGAAGAGAACACGAGAGAGGGGGGCCGCAGGAAGATTTTGTGTTTGTTGGCCAAGTGGCTGGTAGGAGTTTGTTCAGCCCAACGAGAACAGTAATTGTCCCGAGATCAGGAGGACCAACTGATACCGGTACCAATCGGTAGAATACAACCCGTAAGGGGCACGATGGTGGGAAGATCTCATAGAAGGAACGTGCAGACAGTATGAAGCTACTGCTGGGCCAACTCAGAAGTAGAGACCCCCCCAGAGAGCAAAGAACCCTGCAGGGGGCAGGAACCAGGACCACTATGAGGCCAGAAGGAGTTCTCCTGGTGGAGGACACCCGGCATAAGGGATACGTGTAGTACACATGGGGCTCCTATGGAGGAGGACTGAGCACCGGTCTCCCATTGTTGGGAATTCCCATACTTCACTAGGAACCTGTGATGATCATCTCCGGATAATGGGTCCCACCTACAGGGACCTGCAGAGTCAACGAGAGCCCCCCAGTCCAGCACAACCAGTCTCGGGTTTTATTGATTGGCCGATCTGGGTGGGGGTCCCACTTGCCACCACTGCCCCCTTATGCCAGGTGGAGTCTGGTGTGGGGAGAATTCAGGTATGATGGAGAAGGAGGCAGCTGCAGGATCAGCACCTCCCTAACCCTAAATCCCCCCCCCATGCATGACCTTTCTATGGAGCTACAAGGTCATAGCAGAGCCCAGAAATGGGGCAATTCCCACAGGACCCGTCTAAGATGCCCCCCCCCCTGCACACAAGTCACAGATAATACATCTCACAGCGGCGTGAAACCTCCCCGAGGGCTAAAAATAGAGCGGGCCCCTACCAGAAGTAAAAGCGCATGTAAACCTCATTAACCCGTT